ACTAATCTCTTAAATTCTATTATACAAGTTTTACAAAAATCTTAGATGTGATGAATGATAAATAGAAACGAAAATTCGGGAACGGAAATCATTAAGAAAGAGAAAAAAAAATTCATAAATATAGGTATATATTTCAAAAGATTCACACGTTTTTTGGAACAAATATTATGTGAATAAATATTACCGAAATCTTATAATTTTATCATTTTAGGTAAGAGCATCTCTAATCTATAATGTAGACTTAATAAAATGTTAGCCACATCATCAAGTTTTAAAGTGGGTATAAAAACTAGTCTCCAATCCATAATGTTATGGACTCTTTTATGGTGACATGGACAAATTAAATTTCCAAAGTGTGAAGCCCACTTTCTAGTTTTCCAAAGCCTGTTTGAAAGCCAACTCATCAAAAATAAACCCTATTTGCATTGATTTCTTCCCTACGACTGTGAAAAACTTTTGGCGGGGAACTATTGCGCCATTTTCAGAGATTCATGTCCTTTGAGATCCCTATCGTATTTTTTTTTGCAGATTTGTTAATCAGGGCTAGAAGGAAAATCAGGTATGAGGGCTTTTGTTTATTACCTTTCTTTTTATCAATTATTTATTATTATTATTATTTTTTTTTATTCAAGTTTCTAAACAATCTAGCAGCTACAAGAAGTTGTATGACACATTTTTTTTGTTTGAAATCATTAATATACACCGTCTAAATTTTTGTTGCATTAGAGATTATTTGTTGTCCATGGCAATATTTACCCTATTATTTTTAGCATTTACCCTGAGTTTGTTATCCAAGATTGCAGGCCATGGTTTATGTCAGATTGGGATGAAATCAATTTTATAGTTTGCAAGAATAAGACTTCAAGGGGACGGGAGGGGTTGTGGTGGGTTGTGGTTACTTTCTTTTCTCAAAATATTTTTATTTTCTAACCCATTTAATCTTTAATTGCAATGAATATACAACAAAACCATTCATGTTATAGTGGTTTATATCATTAGTTTGATAATAACACAATATGGGATCACTTGAATGGTCTTGGGCCGACAACCCCGTACATGGCCTTTGAGTTACCGAAAATTTATGAAACATATACCATGTGAATGCACTCGTTCCTAGGATTATTTGATTGATTCGAATTTTGATTTTGAGGTGTCGTATATATGTAACTTGTCGTATGTGTTTGTTGTATGTGTCGTAAGTTTAGATATATATAGTGTACGCAATCAGTTCGGTTTTATGTTGTTTTGACACTTGTATTATAGCCGTTTTATCTTGATGCCTTCAAAGAACTTATACAAGATTTTATCTTTTCTCTACAGGAACAAGAATTCGACAAATATCTATTTATACAAAAAGTTACGTTTAAAATACGATCATCGAGTCGGTCTATCTTGTATAAAACGTGATTGTGTTATGTGTACTTACTTACGAAACTTTTACATGTGCCAAACATCCTGTTTTAATTTTAGTGTCTTCATAAAAGTTGTTGAGGTTTTTGTTGGTGATTAGTAGGAACAAGAATTACCTTATTACCTATTTTCTTTCACAAATTATGTTCAAAATACAAACACCATGCTAACAGTTTTTCAGCGATTTGGCAGCGGTTTTGTTGCTGATGTTTGATCTGTTTTGACCCCTTTAACTTGCTCGTAAGTATTTGAAGTCTTCACAAGTGTTGTAGTTCTATCTTTTGAGTTTCTATAATTTCAAAAGTCAGTCCAAAATATATTTTATAGCAAAAGTTATGTTTGTTGTACGAGAACTGTGCATAAGTTGTACATTCAGTTTTTACAGCAGTCATGTTCTCTGTTTGTACATAGTTTACACCGATTAAAAGTTCTCGTTTATGTTTTATGTATAAATAAGAGTTATAGAGGTTTGTCTTCATATCGTACTGGAGCAAGAATTTCTTCAATATGTGTTTTATATTTGAAGTTATGATCAAAATACTAAAATTGCGCCAGGTTTTTTTAGTATTTTCATTATACATATAGTAGTTTTTTGAGTCTATCTCTAATCTTCTCTTCTCTTGTCATGAATGATACAGATGGAATCAAAAGACCAAGATGATTTTGCATGCAGTCAGCAACTTTCAAGTCACACCAACCCTTCCCAAAATATAAACCAAATGAATCCTGATTTTATTTATTCCATGCCTCCACATAATATCAACCAATTTAATCCTGTTATCTATCATACTGCTCCACCAAATGGAATGTATCCTCTCAATCTTGATCTGCATAACACACATAGATTTTCCTATCAAGATATGTTGAATGTTCCCATTAGCAACCCACAATGTTCCAAACCGGTCAAGGCTTTGAAAAAGGCAGCCAAAGACTCCCAAAATTCAAATACTTCTCAATTGTCAATCGCTAAAAAGGATTGGACTACCAAAGAGGAGGAGGCTTTAACTGAGGCGTGGCTCTATATCTCCGTGGATGCTGATGTGGGAAATAATCAAAAAAATTCTGCTATGTGGGCACGTGTCCTTCACATTTGGAAACAAAAAATGGGACCTGACCACTACACAATGAGAAACAACAATAGCTTGCAATGTCATTGGTTCCAAATACGGTCCGCAGTAAGCAAATTTGTTGCAAAGTATGAGCAGCTCGAACGGCATCCACAGAGTGGTACCAACTCACAGGACTTGGTAAAAGTGTTATTCTTTGTCGAAAATGGAGAGAGATTGATTATTCTTTAGACTTATTCAATATTTATTGTTGTTTTTCTTATTGATTTATATACATGATGTTGGCACTAGAATCATTTGGTCTTAGTAGCTTTTGTTTTGGACTAGAAAAAAAATGCATATTTAAAAATGTGGTGTTTACATGTGCATATAAGAGGTCCATTAGTATTTAGAATTATCGATGAAGACGTGCCTTATTTTCATGTTTGATTTATTGATAATAAGAGTTCCATCAGTTCCATTATCGATGAAGACGTGCATATAAGATGTATTCAGAATTATATTTTAATGTTTGATTTCATTTTGGAATTATCGATAAAGACGTGCATGTAAGAGTTCTATTAGTTCCATTAGTATTTAAAAGTTAGCCTATATTTTCATGTTTGATTTGTTGATAATATTGATTTTGCTAGGTGATAAAAACATTACGCTTGTATGAGGATTTCTTTGGAAGCCCCTTCAAGTTTCTTCATTGCTGGAAAATATTGGTCAAGAAATTGCTCGACCAGAGGGAAGGAAAAACTGCAAAGACAAAAAGCGGAAGCTGAATGAGGAGAAAGGTGTAGTTGACGCATTGAACAGGTTGCAAAGCACTTTAGAAAAACAAGTTGGTGTCAACCAAGCAAGCTTGGATATGAAAGAGCAAGCGATGAAAAAAGAAATGGAGCTGAAAGAGCAAGTGATGAGAAGAGAGATAGAACTAAAAGAAGCTGCCCAAAAGCAGAGAAAAGAAGATCATGCAATGAAGATGAAAGAGCAAAGAAAACAACATATCATGAACCAAGATTTAAGTGTATTATCACCATCACTAAGAGCTTCTTATGAAGCCATGCAGGCTCAGATAATGAAAGATTGGGAAAATGAAATTCTTTACTAATTTTGACATTTCATATTCAGTGTCATGAATAAGATTGTAGTCGGATTTATTTAGTTAATGTTTTACTTTGATTGGATTAAGTGAAATTTTTCTCTAAATGGTGAATTAGATTGGTAGTCTATTAGTTTCTATATGCTCCATTGTGTTGGTTCCATAATAAAATGCAATATTTTGTTCAATATTATTCTGCCAAAGGACACGAAAAGTTTGGTGAACTATCAAAATTCCAGCAACTTATAACATTCTGCCATAATTTCAAATGGTATATCACATATCTTCAAATTTACATACAATAAAACCAGGTTATTATGTGAAGTTGATCATCCAGTAGAAAATTTTCTTGTGTAACCTATTTTGCAAGACTTTATTCCAACCATCATAACTCTCTACATACTTAATATTTTTTACTTCCGTTTTTTGGTTGGATACTAGACTCACTTGGCTTTCAAATGTTATATCACATATCTCCAAATTCACATCCAGTGAAACCAGTTTATTATGTGAAGTTGATCATCCAGCAGAAAATTTTCTTGTGTAACCTATTTTGCAAGACTTTACTCCAACAATCATAAGTCTTTACATACTTAATATTTTGTACTTCCGTTTTTTCTGTTGAATAATAGACTCACTCGGCTTTCAAATGGTATATCACATATCTCCAAATTCATATCCAATAAAACCAGTTTATTATGTTAAGTTGATCATCCAGCAGAAAATTTTCTTGTGTAACCTATTTGCAAGACTTTACTCCAACCATCATAACTCTCTACACGCTTAAATTTTTCACTTCCGTTTTTTTTGTTGAATACTAGACTCACTTGGCTTTCAAATGGTCTATCAAATATCTTCAAATTCACTTCGTATAAAATCAGTTTATTATGTGAAGTTGATCATCAAGCAGGAAATTTTCTTGTGTAACCTTTTTTACAAGACTTTATTCTAACCCTCATATTTCTTTACATACTTAATATTTTTTATTGCTCTTTTTTTATTGAATACTAAACTCCCTTGGCCTTCAAATGGTATATCAACCTCTCAAAGATAATTATTTTAAAAATAATTGAAGTTGCGTGATTCACATATCAAAACCTTTATCATTAAAAGCTATACTCTTGATTAAGATTCTCAAAATCTAAAAATGGAGAAATATAACTCATGTGCTCATATAAAATATAAAAAACTATTAATAATTTATTATGATATAGAATATTCAAAATAATAGATTAATATCGAACACGTTCAAACACATTACAATAAGCTCATTTTAACTAAGAAAATGCTAGTCGTCATTCTGACCACCATACAATTTCCACATGCGGTTAATAAGATCACACTTTAAATCTTTATGCACCCTTTTGTCTTGAACTTGTTTCAGTCTACCAGCCATCCTTGACATGAGATACGAAAAATCATGTTCCGGAGTAACATCATCCACTGATTCATCTCTTTCAGGCTGCCAACTTTCAGGATTTATGCCTTGGTCACACTCATTCTCAATAATCATATTATGCATGTCTTCATTATTTTTCCCAAGTCTGTTGCGCTCCACATACGTGCTGGACCTTTTATTATGTGCCAACGACTTTGTAACACACCAAATGCTCTTTCTACATCCTTCCAAGTAGATTCTTGGCGCTTTGCGAATAATTTCTCTTTCATTGAAGATGGTTGTGAAATGGTCTGGATCAATGTAGCATATTGATGATAAATTCCATCAGATAAGTAGTACCCCATATTATAGTAATGACCTTGCACGACAAAGTCACACGATGGCGCAACATTGTTAACTATGTCATCAAATAGAGGAGATCTATCAAGAACAGTCACGTCATTGTTGGTACCTGCCATACCAAAAAATGCGTGCCATATCCATAAGCTTTGTGAAGCTACAACCTCAAGGATAAGAGTTGGAACTCTTTTAAAACCGCTAGTATATGCCCCATGCCAAGCAGTTGGACAATTTTTCCAATGCCAATGCATACAATCTAGGCTGCCAAGCATTCCTGGAAACCCTCGACTTACGCCTTCTTCTAATAACACTGAAATATCATGCTTATTTGGTTGTCTTAAGTATTTTTCTTCAAACAATCCTATTATAGCATCACAAAACCTCTTTAGGCATTCAATTGCAGTGCTTTCATCAATTTGAACATATTCGTCAAGAGAATCAGCAGAACAACCGTACGCAAGCATGCGTATTGCTGCTACTACTTTTTGCAAGGGACTCAACCCTATATTTCCAACGGCATCAACTTTTTGTGTAAAGTAATCATCATAATTATTTACAGCTTGCAAAATTCGTTCAAATAATTCAATATCCATGCGAAATCGACGCCGAAATTTGTCTGGGGTGTACTTTGACTTGTCACCCTTGAAGTAGTCGTTTACAATTAATTCATGACGATCTCTCCTATCACGACGAATATAGGCTCTGCCAACAGTTGAGCCTCCATGGGGACGTTTCCTACTCGTTAAAAATGAGGAAATCATAACTGGAACATGTACGGCACCAATTTGAACCATGTCTGACTCTACATCTTCATCAAAATTGTCATCTCCAAACAATCTCTTAGTAAGTGAAAGAGATTCGGAGCTCGATGATCCACCCATTGAGTGTGAATTAGAGTTTTCTGATGACATTCTTTCTGCATCAATACGATAAGAGTTTTTTACATAATAAAAAATTGATCATAATTATTAAACAATAATATCAAACAAGAAGAGAATTACATGAACAAAATTTTTTCACCTATTGTTTGATACAAATTAAAGAGCATAAAATAAACAATAATATCAAACAAGAGGAGAATTACATGAACAAAATATTTTCACCATTTGTTTAACACAAATTAAAGAGCATAAAATATTGATTAAAAATTTATGATTACCTGACGAAGCCTCCTTTGAAGATATTTTGTGTTCTAGATGAGAAAAAATTAACCTGGGGTGTAAACGAAGAGATTGGGTGGTGAGGAATTGAAACTTGGAGGTTGTGGATTTTATGTGTGTTGGATGGAAGAAGAGACTGCGCAGAGAAATCAATCAGACTTCAATTTTGCTAGGATTTAGTTTTTAATATTTTAGCTTATTTATTATTAAATAAAATAAAATCCACCTATACATATTTTAAGCTTTTGAAAGAGATGCATTGGAGATATGCATCCTAAATTAAAGTCTCCGCTTTTGACATTCATATTACATGGATTTACATTCCATTCATCATTTGACATGTGTTCAAATTAAATTAATGTTAAAAGTGGAGCATTGGAGATGCTCTAATAGATATACGAATTTATTGATTATCAATATTTGAACTAATATTGGTTGGAAAGATTATGTGATAGATATAAATCGCATCCAAATTTATTTAAAGTTCCATCCACATAACCAAATTGAATAGGCGGGAGTTATGAAAAAATTCAAAATAAATTCCGAAAATGGTAAAAATATAACAAAAAGAAGCGAGAAAATGACTTTCCACTTTCGAATTTTTTTCAGATTTTTTTTTAATTGTATTATATCAGTGCCGCTCACCTGCCCACGGTGGGCAGTGCCCACCACTTTGTTTTACATGAAAAACGTATTCTGAGAATACGTTTTTCAATTAAATGGTGGGCACTGCCCACCGTGAGCAGGTGAGCAAATCCATGTATTATATAGTAATAGATTCATGATTCAATATTCATCTACTCATATAATTTTAATTTTAACTAACCATTAGTTCATATCATCTCTCTCCTACTTTTACATCAATTCAACTTTAACTATTTAATTTTAAATATTATTTTAATATTAACTCAAAGTCTCACTAACAACTAACTATACAACTTTTTTTTTTTTTTAAATTAACCTTAGTAAACTTAAAATAAACCCACTTTGAGTAAATTGGAGTGAATCATTACCAACAACATAAAGTGTCAAGTGTCATTTTAATGTTAATCCCATTTATGACTGGAATATTGACTAAAAATAAAGTTAA